GACACCCCCCCCCCCCCACACACCACCCCAACAGACGACCGTTGTATGTGTTTTTTGCCTCTCTGTCTGTCAGTGTATAACTACTGTTGTAGCTGTGCTTTAGTTGTCTCTTGTATTTGTTTTGTCTGTATGCGCATAGCATAGCAACCATATGTTCCAAGTGGCCGTCTATAATATCTGTGTTTGGACTTTGGATTGTACCACGTGGTGTTGTGTGTTGACAAAGAAAGTGTTATCCTATCCATCATTCATCATATACAAGTTGAGGAGCATAATAGGAGCATAAATTCAATATTGATCTGGTCCAACGATTCTTTCTGTTCTGAAAAGAGGTTGGATTGATCTTGGATCAGGCGCACTTCTCGAAAAAGCGACTCAAGCTAAAAGTAGAGATCCCAAAAATTTTGGTTTTGGAGATTTTGTCTTTCCAGAGCTTATTTTATATTTTCGCCCAAGTTATACTTGGCGAGTAACGGGAAATTCGAGGAGCGCATGTGACTAGCATCCATGCTAGAAGCGAGATATGATGTGATCGTCTAGGTCTATCTCACAATGTTAAGGATATGAAAAACTTAAAAGTCCACCACGAGAGCTCGAATAGTGTCAATTAAATGGATGTAAAGCAAGTCATACGTCAATAGTAGTTAACATTGATATCACATATGCTTCTATTCACGGTCTTTTGTCCTTTCTGTTATGTGTTGATAATTCACCAAGGTTCCCATGACATTGGGTTCCAATGTCATGGGATGACCCGAGTGCGCTCCGGTGTCCCATTCGTAAAATTGACGGTTCCTACCCCTCTAATTCCCCTGGTAAACCTTTTTGCCCCGCCCCGACCCGAACACACCCCCTACTCCCGTCAATTGCATCCCACAAGTTGATTTTGACTTTGGAGTCAAAATTTGACTACTATTGTTGTTATTATATTTATTACTTTATCTTTTATTTTTTATGTTTATGATCCTTTTAAATTGAAATCTATACTTCTCTTTAACAAAGTATGCTTTTTATACAAAATTATACTTTTATTTCAATATGCATATATGTTCATTTTAAAGCAGGGTTTAAAACCCCGTTAAGAGCTTAAAATTTTTATAACATTTTCGCAAAAAAAAAAAAACAATTCAGTGGTTCAACAAGCAGGTTCTTACTAGTTTTTGCCGGTTCCCACCGATTTGAAGCAGAAAGCGATCTTCATCGGTGGACACTTGATTCAACCACCGATTCGCCAGTTCACTGTCTAAACTGGTCGATATAGTCCAGTTTCCAAAACTGATTAAAACCAATGGCAAACGAGCACTCCAACAATCCATTTGCTGAAGCCTAAAGTTGTGTCAAAGTTGGAGCGAAACCCATAGGTACCCATGCTAACTGGGTTCGGGTTTCAATTGTTAGTCTCGTATGATCCGACTAGGTGTAACTTTTTGAAGGAAGACGTTTCCTCGCTAGGGATGACAATTTGTACCCGAATCGATGGACAAACGAAAAAAGGTGATGAACGGATGATGGATGAACTATTGATGGATCGAACGATGTAAAGGTCCGACCTTGACAAGAAACAGGGGCGCAACAGTTTGGATTTGTTCAAACCAGGAGGGTTAGCTAGAGATCATCTTGCCTCTGTTTCTTTCATCTATATATTTACTAGTAATTTGTCTCTCTGTTTGTGTGGCCTGTCTCTCATGTTTGATTCATACAAATTGTAGACCCAAAACTAATTTCACATGCAAATTTGTTTGTGGTGCTGTTTGTGAACTTTGGTGACAAGAATTACGTCAAAAAGTTCTACAAAGACAAGATGTTTTATTTTATCAAATACTTAATGAAATCTCGTAAACAAACAAAAAGTTATCGAGAGGAGAGAGAAAAATGTAATTAAATTCGGGATGGAAGAAGTATAAAAAAGGACATTTTATTTATTCGGCGTAGTAGTACAATTCAACACACTTGATAAGAATTACAACAACATAGGATGACAGTGGAAGCTAAACAGCAGAGCATTTGATCAAACAAATTGCTTAATTATTTTTGTTATAAATCTTAATTATGAACGAACTAGCCCTCATCATCTCTAGCTAGCTGGTACTATTATTATTAATAGAGAGTAATTGATGAAGGCTGGTTTTTATTATTATAATTGATATAGTTAATTTAGCAAGGTAGGAAGGGCAGCAGGTAACAGAGATTAAGGGCACTTGGGCTTGCCCTTCTTGTTCTTCAAGTCCCTATAACAAGGGCACTCGTGCTTGTTCCCATAGGTCCCGGAGGGCACACAGTTGCACTGCTTGCAGCATATTCCGCAGTACTTTGTGCACCTGTCCTTGAACCCCGCCTTTGAACACCTCGCCTCGCACTTGTCGTCGCACGAACCACCACCTGTTCCACACTCATTAATTACTACTTTTCGAAAACATCTCCCGTAATATAAATGTGTTTCGTTCGGTCCAGAACTAGTTTTTCTAATAACCCGTCTTTGTCCCGAGCCTCCCGAGTTTGCTGTTATGCTACGACATACAGTAGCATACGAGCAGACTCGGTGGGGCCGGGGAGAAGTAAGATGGGATGGAAAGAACAACACAATAGAGTTAATAAAGGAGTAAGTAATGCCCATTAATCTGCATGAGCAAAGAAATTTAAAAAAAAACCAACCTGACTGTGCAGTAGTACTGGCTGAGGAGCCAAGAACTAGAGCTAGAAGAAGCAAGATTGCAATAAGAACCACCTTCATTCTATTTTATTTTTTTTAAAATTCTTCAAGAGAAATTTGTTTTTTTAAAGTAATGTAATAAATTAGCTGGAGTGTATGTATATAAATATGTGCAGCAGATAGAGGGCCTTTATGTGTGTATATATAATG